GTTTAAATCCAACACTGTCCATTCTCATTATTTTTCCACTCTTTTCTCACCGTATGGGCTTATTTGATTTCATGATAACATCCCTGAGAAAGAAATGGGACGGCTGATGTGTCCTGATCGAATTCCTCCTTTAAACGTTTCGAAAAATCCACCGACATGAAACAAGTTCTCCATATCTAAGTCTAACCGTCTAAACCACAGAAAGAATAAATCTACCTCACTACACCGTGTTTAACGATATTTTAGACCCGATCACACGACCATAATCCCAGGATATTAAAGTTATTTAGGTATTCCTGATTAAAGACCTAGTTTTCCTAAAGTTTTAAGCAAATCAAAGCAAATTAATTCTGTGCTGACTGTGATCTGAAGTGGAGTAAAAACAGCGTCCTGCTTCCCAGAAATCCGACAGAGCTGCACTTTGAGGTGGTTTTCGATTTTAAAAAAGCACTTTCCCTGATGGGATTTGATATAAATATAGAGCAGCTCCCCTGCTGTTGTGCTAAGTGTGTGAAAGCAGGTGCAGAGAGCCCTGCTGGACCCTGATGCAGAGGTATGCCGCCACTCAGCTCCAAGGCGCTCAGCTCCACGCCGGCCGTGTCGGCCATCCGTCTGGCGGTGCCGGAGTCCAAGGGCTGCGAGGCCGCCGGCTTACACAGCAGCCATTTTGCTGGCCTCTCGGACCCCGCTGAGGTAGGCCCCCGTCACGGTCTGAGGGAAGTGTCGGTTGGTGGCCTGGTGGGAAAAGAAATGACAAATAATGAAAGGTTAAACCTGGTTTAAAACCAGTGGAATCAAACACAGTCACATATTGAGCATTAGCTGGGTTACTGATGCCCAGAGCCTAAACACAGCCAGCTGGACTTCTTCTTCTTGTGAGACTTTTCTCCTCACATCCTGATGCTTCTTGAAGCCTGAATCCTGAAACAGTCAGCGGACTCGGTGAGCTGGTGATCCGTTTCCTGTCCTCACTGAGTTTAAGTGAAGATATTCAGCCCGCAGAGTTCATTTTATTTTCTCATTTCTTTTGTCACCAACTGGTTGAGGTAGTTTGGGTTGGGCAGGCAGATGGACTTCTTGGAGCTAAAAGAAATCTCTGTTCTCATCCTGAAACTTCTTAAGGGGAGGGGTCAGTCGAGGGGTCAGAGATCGTCGATTGTCTGAAAGTCAGTTAATCCTGACCAGAGGAAAAAAGCCCAAAGAAGAAGAGAGCTCTACTCCCTGATTGGCCGGAACAGAAAACAGGAATTCAGCCCCTCTGGCCAGCTTGTTGTACACAGCAAAAACACCAAGTTTCTGTTGCCTTTGGGCTTCAGCTTGAATCCAAATCTACTCCATTTAGTAATCATCTTCCTTCTCTGTGTATTACAGGAGCTGTGACATTTTGGAGTAATTCAAACTTTTGCCAGATGTTGCGTTTTATCTGGTTTTAATTTCAGCACCCGATTGGTGCCTGGTTTTAGGATTCTTACTGCTGCCGGTTGAATCTCTGGTTTTGTGCTGGTTCAGGTGTGTTTTAAGCAAAGCGTGAAAACGAGCTGCCAAATGGCGACGTTGGGCGGCTCAGGAGGAGGCAGGAGAGTTACCTCTCCGGCGAAGAACAGCTTTCCCTGCACATCCTCGGCCAGCACGTCGTAGGCCTCCCCGCTGCCGCCCGTCTTCACAAAGCTGTAGGACATCTGAGACCACCTGTCTTTGCTCCAGTGGGTCACAAAGTAGTTCACAGGGTCTGGGACGTCCTGTGGGAGGAAGAGGACCTTTAATCCACAAGCGGAGGGGAAATCCCATCCAAAATGAGGCGAGACAGGTTTATGTTACAGTTTGAGTTTTGTGTCCACGACAACTCAAAGTACCTTACATTTTAAAAGCAGACAATGAAGATAAAGAAAACAAATAAAAATAAGTTTAACCAAATAAAATAAATAGATTAAAGGCTAAAAAAAAATTCAGCTGTAGTAACCCTGTTTCACCTCTTCAAGAAGACCGATTTAGATTTGAGGAGCATCAAACTGAAATGAAGCCTCTCCTGGTTTGGTTCTGACCTCTAAGAAATCAGGTGTGTTTTAAGCTGCATAGTTAATGGTTCTGATGCTGATAAATATGAGAGAAGTGGCCCAAAGAGCCGATGATCACAGGGAGGGCTGAGGGTGATCCCTCCACAGGGATGAATGGAGATACAAGCAGAGGTCGGGGCTGTGGGGCCAGGAAAGGGTTAATAACCCTTTAGTTTTCTACCCTTCCATCATCCATCGCTTATCTGTGGTCGGGTTGGGGGGCAGCATCTTAAGCAGGGAGATGGTTCAACTGGGGAATGATACACTTGAGTTTAGATGTCTTAACTGAGTTTATGCAGCGTCCAATCAGAACTCCAACAAGGATAATAATGAGTCTGCATACCCCTCAGCATGTAGCTAGTTGCTCCCCTGGTAGTCTCAGCTGACCCTTGACCCTCTATGCTGTGGCCGACCGGACCCCTGACCGGTGCTCACCTGCTCGGGGAAAAGCTCCCTCAGGACCTTCAGGCACTCTCCCACCACCTCCTGGTCCTCCAGCTCGCAGACAGCAGGAACAGCGTCGCCAGAGATGACCGACATCAACACCGCCTGCTTCCCCTGTTGGACACAGTTACATCAGCCAGGGCCTCAAAGGGTCTGAGCTTGGTTTCAGGGATCGGATACCCAGAACCTCACAGGACTGGGTCCTTCATTCTCCTCCCAGTCTAAACACACACATCTGGAGCAGATACTCAGACTCCCATGATGCCTCAGTGACCCTGAGGGGGAGGAGCCGACCCTCTGATCCAGAACCAGTCGGCTTCTCCTTGGTCATGGCTTTAAAAACACACCTGAGGGTCCAGGTCGTAGAAGACGCTGAACAGGCCTCGCTTTTCCGGTGCCGGCGGGATGTGACCAAAGTAGTCGGCTCCCTGGATCTTGGAGTCCCAGAACCGGGTCGGGAACTGCAGAGCGATCTGCGGGACGTTCGGACTGAGGTTTAGCTGCTGGGCACCGACAGCCTCTGGAGGCGGGCCGGCGGGGATGCGAGGTACCTTTTCGATGATGCCGGCTCCCAAGCTGTGGATGGCCTTCAGCTTCCTCTCAGGAAGGGGGGGGTGGAAGTGGAGGAGGCCCCTCTGGAGCAGGGTCAGCGGGACGGTGACCAGAACCTGGAAGAGAAAGCAGCCCGATGAGGACTGGATCCATGAACAGAACCTGCCCTCTGAATCAAACGTATTTCTGTCCCCCATATCATCCTGTCCTGGTTTTGGTTCTGATTAACTTTTTCCCTAGTTCTGATGGAGGTTTCTTCTGGTTCTGATGGAGGTTTGTTCCTGGTTCTGGTCCTGATGGAGATCTCTTCCTGGTTCTGCTGGTGTCCTTGGTTATGAACGAGCTGGACCCATTTGGAATACCTGGATCCTGACGGCTTAACTGAACCGGATCAGAGGTGAAATCTTTTGTCATCTTGCTGCTCAACCTGAACCCAGAGCCTTTGGTCCTGTAACCCAGTGGGCCGGTTTCAGAGCCTCTACCTTCTGGGCCGTCCACTGCGACCCGTTTGATGAGGTCACTTTCACGAGGTCCCCCGAGTAATCCATCGTCTGGACCTGTCCTTTCCTAGAAGACAAAGTTTAGTGAGGAAGAAATCTGTGGACCAGCTGAGCCATCGACAGCTGTACATAAAAACCATCAGTTCAACCACAACGA